ACAATGACCCCAAACACACCTCCAGGCTGTGTAAGGGCTATTTGACCAAGAAGGAGAGTGATGGAGTGCTGCGGCAGATGACCTGGCCTCCACAGTCACCGGACCTGAACCCAATCGAGATGGTTTGGGGTGAGCTGGACCGCAGAGTGAAGGCAAAGGGGCCAACAAGTGCTAAACACCTCTGGGAACTCCTTCAAGACTGTTGGAAAACCATTTCAGGTGACTACCTCTTGAAGCTCATCGAGAGAATGCCAAGAGTGTGCAAAGTAGTAATCAGAGCAAAGGGTGGCTATTTTGAAGAAACTAGAATATAAAACATGTTTTCAGTTATTTCACCTTTTTTTGTTAAGTACATAACTCCACATGTGTTCATTCATAGTTTTGATGCCTTCAGTGAGAATCTACAATGTAAATAGTCATGAAAATAAAGAAAACGCATTGAATGAGAAGGTGTGTCCAAACTTTTGGCCTGTACTGTATATATATATATATATATACACATATCGCTCATCGACATTTTCTGGTTTTAAAATCCGGCCCAGTTTAATTTGTAATTGAATAGCCCTGCGGATTGGTTACACAGGAAGGTTAGAATAAGCAGTTGAGTTTGTGGTTGCCTCGTGGGTTTTTTTGTTCTTTTTTACTACTGGCATTCCATTTTTTAAAAATGCAGTGTGGTGCACCTTGCGGTTTGTTACCTGCAAAACACTCTCTGTGTGATCGAGGCCTGACACTGTCTTTTTTACGGTAATGCTGCTTAATGTGTGTTGTCCTAATGAATTAATAAATGACATGAAAGAAAACAGTGAGCTGAAAACTACAAACAGCCACAGAGTGAGCTGTTGATTCTCAGTGGGATCAGCAGGATAAGTAAACCTTTACCATCACAGGGAGTTATCAGCTTTACATGCAAATATCACTTCATGGACCTTTGTCTTGTATCTCTGTGTGGAAACACATAATGTGAGCTAATTCTTTGTGATTCCTCCTCAGAGTGGACGAGGAAAGCTCAGACGTTCCCAGTGGTCAGTGTGCCCAACATGAGCCACACCTGGACTCCATATTTATGGTCTGTACATGTACTACAACTACTTTTACATCTGTTCTGTTCACAATCATCTCTGCGCTGCACTTTTCAGACGAGTGGATTGTCAGTCTGGAAATTAAAGATCTAATGTATGGTTCAATCATTTCCCATTCCCCACTAAACTGCAGCAATGTCTTGGAAAAAAACGAATGCTGTTCATGCCACTATCCTGACATGAAATGCAGCGTTGTCTCCATGAAAAACCTTCTCTTTGTGCCAATATTCCTGGCTAGAAAAAAAGCGATGGATCACTACAAACCATTATTTAGTGGCAAAAAGCCATTGGAAAGACAGCAGTGATGGGTTGCTACAAAACACCCACTGTTAGTGCCTAAAAAGCAGCTGGAAATGCAGCAATGGTTAACCACAAAATGCCCATGTTTGGTGTCTAAAACAGCCACCCGAAAGACAGCAGCAGGTTGCTACTAAACACCCACTGTCGGTGCCTTAAAAACTCCTGAAAATTCAGTAACAAGTTGCTACAAAACACCCAAGTTTTGTGTCCAAAAAGCTGCTGGAAATCTAGGAATGACTCCAAAATCACAAACGTTTTGTTGTTTGCTGGTCTGGAACAGTGGTCTGCAGCTTGGCTTGCATATCGCCGAGATGTCACGTCAGGCAGCATTCCCTCCACCTTCTGATGACAATGTCAGCTCATATACTACATCACTTTAGAAACATTAATATATTACATATGAAACATGCAAATTTTGTGGTTTGCAGAAAGGTAATTTGTCAACATTTTCTACTGGTGACTGGACTGAATATTCTGTTCCAGGTGCTGGAGGAGAACATTATCACTTTTGTGAAAACTGAGCTGAAGAAAATCCAGAGGGCTCTGAGTTCAGATCATCCGGAATGCTCAGAGAGTCAAGAGGAAGAGGAGGTGTTGGACAGTAAGGCTGAAGCACTGAGGAGGAGCAGCAGAAAGGCATTTCTGAAGATAACGCTGGGCTTCCTCAGGAGAATGAAACAGGAAGAGCTTGCTGACTGTCTGCTGAGCAGTAAGAGGATTTCTCTGAGGATTTAACATGTTAGATGAATGGGACATTTACTAAAGTCTCAAGAGAATAGTCAGTGTGCATAGGCCGATTTGAACAGGTGGGTTTTGAGATTGGATTTGAAGGATGTTATGCTGTTGGACAGTTGGATGTGTGGTGGTAGGGAGTTCCAGAGCCTGGGGGTAGTGCGTGAGGTGGGGATGGTCAGGAGACCAGCAGAGGAAGAGCGCAGGGAGCGAGGGTGGTGGTGGTGGTGGGGGGGGTGTACTCCTGGAGGTGGTCAGAGAGGTAAGTGGGGGCTAGGTTGTGGAGGGCTTTGAAAGTGAGCAAAAGGTTTTTGCAATCAATCTGGTACTGAACAGGGAGCCAGTGTAGTTGGATGAGAATGGGGGTGATGCGGTCAGATGATTTGGTGCGGGTGATGATTTGATTTGATTTGATTTGATTTTTATTTGTCTCAAACAAGCACAAGCATAAAAACTGGCAGTATATGTAGTAGAAAAAAAAAATGGCACACTGTGATAACGTGTAAGTTCGAGAAGGGGCTGAAGGAAGCAAAGCTTATCATGTTCAGCCCCCCCCCCCTACATTGTCATATAAGCACATACATAATCGATAAATTTGTAAAATCTTAAAAAATTTAAAACATTTAGTCTTTAATATGAAATAGAGCCCTGCTTATAAACATACAAGGCTAAATAAAATCCTTTCTAAAAAAGTATGGAGATCTGGACAGAAGAGTTTTTCATGATGCCTGTTGATGAGTTTGGTGGGAAGGCCAGAGAGTACTGCATTATAATATTCAATACGAAATGTGACAAAGGCATGGACCAGGACTTCAGTGCTGGACTGGGACAGTGATGGGCGGAGTCTGGAAATGTTGCGGAGGTGGGGGAATGTGGTCCGGGTAATATTTTTTATGTGTGGTTCAAATGAAAGAATGCTGTCCAGAGTGACACTGAGGCTCTTGACGTGGCTGGAGAAGGGGACAGGGAAGTTATCAGTGATGATGTGAGGGACATGGGTGCTTTGGATTTTGGCCATGGTGTTTTTGGAACCGATGAGCAGGGCCTCGGTTTTGCTTTTGTTGAGCTTTAGGAAGTTCCTGCTCATCCAACTCCTGATGTCCTGAAGGCAGGTGGTGAGGGAGGTGGGAGGAAGGGCAGTGGAGGGTTTGGTGGAGATGTAGACCTGTGAGTCGTATGTGTAGCAGTGGAAATGAACACCATGGTGATGGAGGATTGTGCCCAGGGGAATGAGGTAGATGATGAATAAAAGTGGACCCAATACTGACCCCTGGGGGACACCCAGTGAAACAACAGAGCACCTTGACCTATGGTTCCTCATCTGGACAAAATGTTGTCTGTCATGCAGTCTCTTAGTATGGAGTCAGGCTGACACAAGCCTCCAGAACAGCTTTAATGCTCCCTGCCAAGTCTGTGGAACTCTACTGGAGGGATGAACACAATTTCTCCAAAGATATTCCCTAATTTATACACCGATCAGCCACAACATTAAAACCACTGACAGATGAATGAATAACATTGATCCTCTTTGTAGGATTCAATGTTCTGCTGAGAAACCTCGGGTCCTGGCATTCATGACGATGCAAATTGGCATGCCTAACCCACCAAAACACTGTTGCAGATCAAGTACACCACTGTCAAGGCAGTGGCACTCTCCGATTGCAATAGCCCCCTCAGCAGAAAGTGCGCCACTCCACATGACAAAACTGCTCAGGAATGGCTGGATGGATGCAACAAAGAGCTCAAGGCCTCAATGTGGCCCCTGTTCCCCAGATTCCACTGCCACTGGGAAGTGCCATTGCCGTGAGGAGGTTTCTTTGCTCTGCAACAGTGTTTGGGTACATGGTAAATGTCAAGTGGTATCCCCATGAATGCCAGGACCCAAGGTTTCCCAGCAGGACATTGCACTGTAACGAGATGATCAGTGTTATCCTCTCTGATCCTTTCTCTAGAGCACAAACTTCTTGTGTTTATTTGAATTCAGAACTAGCTCAGCTAGTGACTGCTGTGAATAGGGCAGCTGACAACAAGGGAAAGACCATGTGACCGCTTGGAAAGACAGCTGACAGGAGGGAAAAGACCCCAAAGGTGCTGGCATGGGATAGCAACCCATGGTAGCAGTGGTGAGGCCTAGCAGCCTTACTACAACCAAAATTAGCTATAGCCAACATAGGGAAAATACCCCAAGAGTCAGCGAGAGCAGGGGTGGAAGATGACTCACATGGGGATTACACGGTAACAGACATTGGAATGGACACAACTATGCATTGGATCTGTGACTCAGTGAAGGATAGGGGCACGGACCTATCCACCAGGGCTAAAATTAGCAGCACTCAGGGCAAGGCGAGAGCATCTGTAGAGGATAAAAATAGCACAGTTGAGAACAAGATGCTTCAGGTTTGTCCTTGTGGCTGGCAGAAAGTAACATCAGTGAAAGGCCTCAGAACTCATCAGGGAAAGAAGAAGTGTGTGGCAAAGAAAGGGCAGAGTAGCCGCATTGATCAGTACTTCCTAAGAAGTCAGTCGAGTCAGTCGGATGAAGTCCAGCGGCAGGTAGAAAACCACAGTTCGCAGGATATCAGTAACACTGCCACTGAGGAGGAGGNATCAGTAACGCTGCCACTGAGGAGGAGGGGGTAGTAAGAGAGGATGCAGGTGACACTGAGGCCAGTATGCTAGCCAGAGAAAGAACTATGGAGCAAAAGGTTAGAGTTAGATGGCCTAGAGCAAATGACAGTAAAGAATGGGAGATAGTTAATAGAGACTTGTCAGTAATCTTGAGTAGGCTTAGAGGAAATGCAATACAAAGGTTAGAAAAGATGGGAGATATAATGTATTCATATGGTGTAGAGAGGTTTGGGGTGCATGAGAGAAAGAGGAGTGAGAGGGTACAGTCAGGTAAGTCTAGGCGGCAAAGAGAAATAGAGAAGTTAGTCACGGAAAGGAGACAGTTAAGAAAGCAGTGGAAAAAGGCTACAGAAGAAGAAAGGGAGGGAATTAAGGTGTTGCAAGAGGAGTTGAGAAGCAGGCTAGCAGTTCTTAGAAGGGCAGAGCATCTCAGGAAAAAGAGGAGGAAGAAGGAACATGTAAGGACAGGTTTTTTTTCAGGGACCCTTTTAAGTTTGTTAAAGGATTGTTCAGCCAGGAAAAGGGAGGGCAGGTCAAAGCAGAAAGGCTAGAGGTTGAAGAATATTTGAGAAATACATATTCAGATTTAGAGAAGAATAGGATAATAGGTTTCCCACCCGATATCCCTCCATTAGGAGGGATAGAGCATGAGATAGATGTCAGGCCACCTAGGTGGAAGGAAGTTCAGGAGGTGATCAGGCGTGCAAAGGCTTCTTCGGCCCCAGGGCCTAATGGAATCCCCTACCGGATTTATAAAAGCGCGCCTGATATCCTTAAAGTTTTGTGGAAACAGCTAAGAATAGTTTGGGAAAAACAAATTATACCAAGAGCATGGCGTAGGGCAGGGGGTGTCCTTATTCCTAAGGAGAGGCAGTCTGTGGACCTTAGCCAGTTCCGGATGATTTCTTTCTTGAATGTAGAGGGGAAGATTTTCTTTAGTGTAGCTGCACAGAGATTAGCTAGCTACTTAGAAAGGAATAGCTTAATAGATACCATGGTGCAGAAGGCAGGAATACCAGGTTTTCAGGGTGTTTAGAGCATACTAGCATGATCTGGCACCAGATTCAGGCAGCGAAGATTAACAAAAGGGACCTACATGTAATATTTTTAGATCTTGCAAATGTGTTTGGTTCAATACCGCATAGCCTCATTTGGAGTGTGTTTGACTATTTCAGAGTGCCACAGGTAGTTGTTAACTTAGTGCAAGCATACTTTCAGGATATTAGATTGTGTTTAAGTACGGCAGACTTCACAACAGGTTGGCAGAGGCTAGAAATCGCATCATGGCAGGGTGTACAATTTCTCCATTAGCATTTACTATGGCGATGGAAGTAATCATCAGGGCTTCTAAGTGGGTGGTAGGTGGGGAGAGACGGCAGAACGGATTGCATCTTCCACCAGTTAGGGCCTACATGGATGACATGACACTGGTGACCACAACAATGCCATGTACAAAGAGGCTACTAGAGAAGGTAAATAAGAACCTCAAGTGGGTCAGCATGAAGATCAAGCCTAGTAAATCTAGAAGCATCTTGATACATAGAGGGAAGTTAAGTGATAGGAAGTTTGTCATAGATGATGAGGAAATCCCAACAATTAGGGAAAAGTCAGTAAAGAGCTTAGGTAGGTGGTACAATGTGGAGTTGAATGATGAGGAACAGGTGGTGAAATTTAGAAAAGATGTGGCAGAAGGATTGGATAGAATAGATAAATCAGAACTTCCAGGAAAGTTGAAGTTGTGGTGTTTGCAATTTGGGCTATATCCTAGGTTAATGTGGCCATTGTCAATTTATGAAATTCCAATATCTGTTGTGGAGAGAATTGAAAGCTCCTATATTAGGAAGTAGTTGGGCGCTCCTAGGGGCCTAAGTAGTGTTGCATTGTATGGAAAAGGGATACTTCAGCTGCCAGTATCTAGTTTAACAGAGGAATTTAAATGTACCAAGGTCAGGACAGAGCTCTTGTTATCTGGGAGTAAGGACGTGGTAGTTAGGAGTGTGGTTCCAAATCCAACCAAGGGGAGGAAGTGGAACCCAAGATCGGCAGTTCAGGAGGCAGAGGCAGCTCTTAGACATGCAGAGATTGTAGGTAATGTTCAGTTTGGCCGGG